ACTCCAAGATCTCTCTCTGCCTCTGCTGCTGAGAGGGTCAGCCCCTAACCTATAACCATAATGCTGGTTCCCTCTCCCCAGGTGCAGCACTTGCACTTGTCCTTGTTGAACCGCATGGATATAGATGTTGATTAAGTGGGAAGCTGTCCATTTCTTGCCCCGATGCCAGGGGTGCTATCTGTGGCTCCATTCCTCCCCTACGCTGCAGCCCAAGCCTCGCAGATGGCATCCATAGTTCTCACAATCACCGGCCCCTTGCTGGGCCCCAGAATCCTATTGTTGAACCCCTCTATGATCCCTCCATTCTGGTAGCCTAATCCACCTTCATTCTTGGCAACATAGCTTCCTGAGCTGCTTCCCCCTCATGAGCGTGGTCCCCCCTGGGACCTTGGGCTACTAACCCTGGCCCACCTCCAGGCTAGTCAGAACCCTGGGCCCACAGCTCTTGGGTGTTCCTTGCGGTGGGCCCCCCAGCCCTTCGACTCTTCCGGTCCCAGCCCCAGCATTGACCAGTCATTGGAATGTTCAGACAGGTTCGTGAGTCCATGGCCTCACTCTTCCTCTGGGGTTCCACCTTCCAGACCCTACAAAAAGGGTAACCCACTCGGTTATGGGGGATAGGGGTTAAGGCACCCCGGCCCACCTTTCACCGGGGTGGTAACTGGCCTGGCATTTCCTTGGGGATCCCGCACCACTGAGAGCCCCAGCAGGCCACCCTCTCCTGACAGGGTGCAGTTTTAAGTTGTGCCCCAGACCAGGAGCCTCCTGACCATCCCCTACAGCTCCTCCCTTACCTGCAAATGATACCTGCAGCCAGGCAATTGTTGTTGCCTGGCCTTCCAGCGGCGAAATGCCCTGTTTATATGGGCAGCCCTGAATCCCAAAATGGCTGCCCTAATCAGGCACCTGCCAGCTGCTGGCTTCCGGCCCTTAAAGTGGCAGGCACAAACAGTGCCCTGCCACAGTGACACTGTATGTGTGTTAAGGTGCGCCCTCACTCAACTGACACCAAGGCAGAAAGCAGGGCAGTTCAAACAATGCTGCCTTTTATGCAGTTTTTCCATCCCTCCCCCAGAGCACGGGGATTGGAAGGGACCTCAGGGAAGGGTGACAGTCACTGGCCAGCTACACAGTCAATAATGAGAGCACTCCTTCCCTCTCCCTCTCCTTACTTTAGTTTCTGTTTCCCTGCATGCAAGCCCAGCTTGAGCTTTGAAACCGGAAACGTTTTGAAAATTTCAAAATGTTTCGACTTGCCTCATTTTGTTTCAAGGCTGTTTCAAAGCTTTTTCTTTTCACTTTTGCTGTTTGGAGCTGGAAACGAGTCAAAACACCATTGAAATAAAACTGCCAGCGAAATTTTGTGCAGCCCTACTAGCTAGTTATACGAGCTGACTTGATTTTGTAAATATGGTAGAATATCCTGCGTGAATGTCATGAGAGCTCCTATAGTAAATGATGTTATAAAGTGATTCAAGTAGATGGCTGGCTCAATTTTAAAGTAACATCAGCTGCAGCTACACAGATGTCCCAAGCCATGAAGTCTGGATCTTTATTTCCAGGGAGTTTGGAAAACTTTGTGTCCATTTATCGCAGTTTGTCTATCAATCAATATATGAACATTTCTTTCCAATACTTACATTGATTAAATGTGTCTGCAGCGTTCCAAACTTTCACCACTTTAACATATGCCATCCTCTTATTTTCAAAGGTACAATGTAAACATGTTAAGCATTGCACTTCAATGTGCTTGTTTATGTGAAAAATCCCCACACCTTTTTAGGCTCTTATTTAAAAAAATGCACTGACTAAAATATCAAAGCATCTGAGATAAATTAGAAGTATTTGCTCCCTAATACTGTGTATCTTAAAGAAAAAGTATCTCATATGGAAGAGACATGTACCTTGGTCCAAAGACTGAAATCTGAAGTGTGTTAAATATTTACAGTTCTTGTGATAAAGCAACCTTGAAATATAATTATAGATGCCAGCTCAGTTGTATGTAGGTTCTGTAAAGGAATGCTTTGATATTTCATCTTCTATATTTCTCCTTAAGTCTTCTGACTCTGTACTGAACTATTGGTGCAATTTGCTCTTTCTGGTAAGGCTTTAATCATTCTGGGATGGATTTCCAGCTCCTCCCCTTCCCCCTCTTCCATATTGTATCAGGTCAGCTCTCAATTTAATTATTTTTGGAGCCCAAGGGATATGGGGAGGGAAGTAGTATAAGCAAATATATTTATTTCTAAAACTAATACTATTGGTTCTTTTAATATATAGTTAAAGGTTAGGAAGTCCTTTTAAGATCAGGGTTAACCTTTTGTACTTTAACCCATAGCACTTTATCTAGTTGGAAAAAAACAGCTCGTAGGATTCCTGGAGCCAGAGGTGATTTTTTTTTTTTTTTTTTTTGTCCTTTCACCATCAGTCTTCCCCAGTCTTATGCTCATTTGTATTTGCTTTATTGGTAGCAAATATTGGCACATTCTGTTCTAAGTCACCGAGTTACTGAGGGAGTGGGGGGAAATGCTTTAAATGTACACCAGTAGAGTGGGATACTTCAAATAAAGATTATGCAGTTTCCCATTCTGCCTGTTCTAGGAATAGTATTCATCTATTTAAAGTTAACTCTCCTCTGACAAGTAACTCCATAGAGTGGTTCTATCTTTTCTGAGCAGAGCAACTCCTTAATTGAACTAAGGCTTATCTGCTGATATAGCAGGATTTGGGGCCCTGCTGAGTAAAGAGTTAAACACTACTTACCTTTTGGCACTGAATCATCCAGTTGACTTCAACATTTTGATTTAAAAAATCAGCCTTTCTTCATCTCCCTCAGTGGACTTTGACTGGGTGAATGGTGAATAAAGTACTCAAGTCTGCAGGATCAGGACTTGTGCTGTTTGCTGTATATTTATTGCAAGGCAAACTCGGTTGTGGGAGAGCAAGGTGGTTTCTCATCTGGTTTATGCATTATCCACAGATTGTTAACCAAGCTCATATTGCAGTCTGCTTGCTGATGCATGGAGTCACAGTCCAGCTGGGCTTTTGGATTCCAGGCTGACTTTGTAGGACTGGCAGATAGAGACTTGATGGGTATTTAATCAGATCAACCCCGTGTTGAGCCAAGCCATGCATTTCGTATAAAGTCACTTTTTAGAATAACATTACACTTTACACTATTCACTCATCTTCCCCCTCCCAACCTCCCCCTCAGTAATTAACTTACCCCTACATAGTATGTTTTTAAAGAATCAGAGGAGTCGAAAGTATATTAGCGTAAGAAAGACAAGGTTCTTTGGGTAAATGTGATACGTTTTATTAGAACAGCTAAATAGTTGGAAGAAATGTTCTTTGCAAGCTTTCAGGCACAAACACCCTTCTTCAGGCATAGGGAGAGTCTGCTCTCTCTGTTTGTGTGCTCTCCTGGGTGAAAAAGAAGCCAAAATACAAAATGAAAGTCTGTAAAAATGCAAATGTGTGGCAGTGAGGATCAGAGGGAATGGGACACAAAAAGTGAGAGACAGGTAGGTGGAGAGGAAGGAGAAATGTTAACCTGGAGATAGAATGTAGCTGGTAAAGTGCAGACAAGTTACCTGTGGTTATTGAATGTCAGGCAGGTTATAATGTGCCATAAATCCAATGTGTATATTTAGTCCATGATTTTTTGTAGCCGGTAGATTGATGAAGTGAAGTTTGTGGGCTTGTCTATGAAAGGTGTTTTTATAAATTCCCTTTGAGGATTAGAACTGAGAGATCAGGGAGAGAGGGGTTGTCTTGTGAGAAGTGTGTGTCCGCAGGGAATTGGGTATTTTTGTCTTTGATAGATTTTTGATGTGCATTCATTCTGGTACGCAGTTGTTGTTTGGTTTCTTCTATGTGTTTTCCATCAGGGCATTTAGTGCACTAGATGAGAGAGAGAGATTACATTTCTGGAGGTGCAGGTATAAGTTCCAGGCATGGTGATGGTTCTGTTGCGGCCTGTGGTTATTGTGGGAGTGGTGGAGACGTGTCAGCAGGTTTTACATTTCTTCTCCAGGCACGCTGTGGATTCATTTGGTGTGCTTTGGGCCATAGGAAATATGCTTCTAGTGATGAGGCTGGCAAGGTTCAGTGCTTGTTTGAAGGCTAGGATGGATGGTTCTGGAAAGTTTTCTGTAAGAATTGGGTTTTCTTCTAGTATGGGTTGCAGTTGTTTGAGGGTTTTCCATCTAGGTTCCAGGGAAGGATGGTATGTTATAAATAATGGTATGCAATTCGTGGGGGTTTTCTTTTTGTACTCCAGCCATTTTTCATGTGGTATCTGGGTTGCTCTTTCAAAAATGTGATCTCTCTCTGGAGGAGTGTCCTTGTTGGGTGAAAGCCCTATTGAGATTTATGAGGTGATGATTGTGGGTATCCTCCTTCATGCTTGTTATTGTAAGAAATGCGTTTCACTAAGCACTAGTCAGGAGCTTCAAATGTAAGATTTATTGGCTTTTATTAGTTGTACAGAATTTATACTTTCTTATCACCTATTTCTCTCTCTTGGTGTTTTTCTTAGTACCCTGTTGCACTTTCTAGAGAAACATTTACAATTGCTTCTCCTATGGTTGTCTTTCAGTATCCGTATTTCTGATTTAAAATGGTTTATCTTCTTGTAGGTTCTTCAGATATTTCTATTTGTACTGCATGTGTAGGTATTTTATATATCACAACCCATGTAAAAAAATCACTTGCATGGCAATATTTCTGAGGCACATTTTAAACCAGTGTCAATGAAAGAATACAACCTGAAAGAACTGCCTTGGGTCATGTCCTTTCTGGAGAAAGCTGGGATGGGTTTAAGATGGGTCAGGTTTTCTTTGGATGCTAATTATTGTAATTTCGGTTTTTCTTGTCCAAAAAATTTGACTCCCTAGCATGCAAGTCTGTTTTCCTTGACTTAAGCAGATTGACTGCAGCAACTAAAGTTCACAAGTAAAAACAGGTACTAATTTACCTTTGTTTACAACATGTAGGAACACAAGTTAAAATAGTGGCAGATAGTGCAAAATAATCAGGTATTTGGCTTTTCCAGTTATTTTTATTATAAACCTAATTTTGCACTGTGACCTTATTAATACAGATGTATTTATATTTCCAGGAATTTGCAGATTATTAAGTAATAAATACCAACTAGCAAGACCAACCATTATTTGGGGCCTGGTGGTGAATCATTAGACTGGCGGCCTGTTAGTGAATAATTGTATTTTTTCACTGGGACTTAAAAATGGCAAACCGATAGTCTCAAATTATACACTAGGCATATACATGCAACCTAGTACTCCCAGTAGTATTCTTCACCCACGTGTTGTTTCATTCATGTTGAATACAGTAGACAATTCTTAGCTGAAGAGCTTACTACATTTTATATATGTATAGCACTTAGAACAATGGGGTCCGAAGTTTGAGCTGGGTCCTCAAGGCACTACTGTAATAAAAATAATAGCTGAGTATTATGACTCTAGTAAGAATAACTATAGCAATTGCTAACATGCACAGTTTATACCTAGCTTGTAAATGACTCACCAGGGATGAGTAACTTCGATGTTTCCAAAACAATTGTAGCATACTCTGAAGAGCCTCCTCCGTTTCAGTTTCACCTTATGCCAGGTTTTTGTATTTTCCCGACTCTCTACTTTTGTTCTTTTTTTTTTTTTTGCACACCTACCAAACAACGATTTGGCACAAGCTGTACTAGCTTACTTCTATGACTTCACCCACTTCTGTGACTGATCTACCATTACTGATGCTGCTGTTGAACTCCCCCTGTCACTTGCATGAACCTGCTTACTTCAGGTTTGACTCTGACCCAAAATAAACACAGCAGGTGTGAAGACATGGACACAGAGCCAAAAATCAAACTCTTCAGTCATTTACTCAGTTACTATTTGCACTGTGTAGGTGGTACCTGTTTTTATTCAGTCTGCCATGTACATTCTTCCCTTGGAACAAATGTGATATTGTCATAGCAGAATCGAAACTCGTGCAAGAGTTGACATCTTTTATTAGACCAGCTAGATATTTGCAAACAAATTATTTTATTTCAAATTATGTTTGCAAATATTTAGTTGGTCTAATATACCAGCCTTGAGTTTTGATTCCTTCCACAAGTTTTGATTCCTTTTGCCTCTAGACCAATATAGCTACAACCTGGATACCTGACACGTGTTGTCATAGCAATACTTTTCCAAGCAGAAGATCCATCAAAATGGTTTTCCTTCTTTTTTTTTTTTCCCCCAGAGACTTGAGTTTATTATTCTTTCCCTAAGCCTGTCTCTATATCAGGTATTTTTTTAGCTGTATATTCAGTAGTCTTTGAACACACACACATATGCTGCTGAATATAATTATTAATCCTGAATCAAAGTAGGCATGTTGACTCTCATATTATTCCCTGAAACAATTACAAGCAAACTTTTATTCATATAGTGTTGTTTGTGGGAATCACTTTTTTTTTTGGTTGTTAACTGCAGTCACTCCCCTTTTAATGGGTTTTTTGGTTGTTGTTTGTTTCATGTGAAAGAAACTTGTCCTGATTAAAACATTCTGAAGTTCCCTACCCTGCAAGGTCAAAAGATCCCCAGGCTCTATTTACTGCCTGCTTGCCAAGGGGATTGTAAGAAAAACTGATCGTTCTGTGCAGTCCACAGCTGAGATTTAGTACTTCATTGTGGCTGTTGCTGCTTAGAATTATGTGAAGGTGGCTACAGAGTAGTCCAGAATTATAGTGTGTGTTACCTCCAAGCCTCTTGGGTCAAATTTATCCTTGGTGCATTGGCTTACCTGTGATTAATTTGTCTGTCTGTGCCCCACTAGAGTTTTGGGTAGTGTTTCACCAAGTTTATAGCTAGGGACTGTGGGAATAAGTTTTCTTCTCGGGTTTCTTGTTTAGATGGTTTTTTAAATCCTGAAACCGCACTGATTTTAGTTTAGTCCTGGAATCAAAATGTGAATGTCTCAAGGTGTGCTTTCACTGTTTGTGTGTTTGTTTTAATTTGGTTCATGTTTTCAAGCTTTTTGCAACCAATAATGCTATTTTGGGGAGGCAGGGTAGGTTTTATTTTTATTTTTATTTTTTTATTTAATTTTAAGCTGATGTTTTTACATCCGTTGTATGGCTCCCAGAACTGACCTTCTCAGAAAAAAACGACCTATCATGAAATCTATGATAAAATCACAAGTATTGGTAATATTGCAGATGCCAAATAACACACAGATTTTAGGTCATATTCCATACTCAAATGAAGTCAGTTGAAACATTTCGACAAATGCTTCTTCCCTTCCTCCATCTCTGAGAGATCCCTGTTATAGGATATCTACTATTTTCTGTGCTTTGTTCTGTTTTGTTATTGCTATTGTTTCCTCAGGCATAGCTATCTTTTCTTTTTCTGTGCATTCTCTACTTATTACAGAATTGTGAAACGTAAGGCATTGTGGAGTTGCCCTTTTTTGCACTGTCCTAAAATGCTCTCCTGGTCTATGTGCTGCTGAACCCTCTATTATATTCTTTCTCTAGCACCTTCATGGCTGTAAACTTGCTAGTTACTGCTGACAGAAAGAAAAACAGAACTCCTATTCACATGTACATTTTTATTATTCTCAAAACTAGACCTTTTTCCCCATGACTGATCATTAAAGATGCTTTGTGTTCCTTTGCATCTGTGCAGAGGAGCAGCCCAAATATGTTTTACCTTCCACTTGCTGAAATGCATGTAGACTAGACTGAAACCCTGTATTGTAACTTCATGCTTAAAGTATTTATTGCCCTTTGGTATGAGATGTCAAGAAACTGAAAGTAGCAAAGTACTTTCCTCAGTTTATCCAGATGTTTAAGCTAAAGCCACTTTCTGGACAAGCAAACTGTTAGTATTTACATCCTCTCCTCACAGTTTGAAGAGTTAGGATTTATGAGCTTTTTGTCAGTGGAATAACAGTCTTTCCAATGACCTGCCTCTTTCAGAGATGATTTTTAAAAAGTGCTTTCCTTGGATAAACCAGACTCTTGTT